TAGTTTTTATTTGAACCAGCCCCTATATATATATATATATATATATATAATAAATTATTGTACAGTCCAAATAATTAAATTTTATTTAGCATTTATATTATTAATATTGATACGATGATTATTGTAAAGTTCTACTCTCATTTTTACGGCAAAATATATTAAAATGAATTGATAAGTCTAAAAAGAGATATAGATTGAATTAAAAAGATTAAATCGTGGTTAAATTATTTGATTTCTATAATTATACAACTTTTAAAAAGATATAATATTTTATTCCACAATAATACTGCTTTTAAATATAATTAATTCCAAACATCCGGATTTACTGTTTAATCAAATATTATGGAGTATCTTTTTAAAACAATAAATCCAGTTGTTAAGGGAAGTTAAAACTGATTTCAATTAATGCTTTAATATTTGTTTTAAGGAATTGGGTACAATTACTGTAATTAAGATGTAATTAATGCATAATGGCAAGAAATGCTTACTATATTTGATTTAAGGTAATTCTTATTATATAATATATATATATAGATGTTGTTTGAGTGTATATTTCTTTCTACTATAACCTAATAATAAATACAGGCTTAACATTTCTCTAGATTCTAAAAATTATTCCATTATTATAAAGGCAATTAAGTAAGAAAATGCATAATTCAAGTAAACCAACTCGATGTCTTACCCTATGATTACGCATCTCCCACAGTGCCTTGCCACTCGCATGAATAATATACATTCCACCTAACAAGGCACTGGTACAACATATGTTTTGAGTTCACTTCTCAACAAAATTAAAGGGGAAATTAAAAAGAAAAAAAAAAACACTTTTCATGTTGTATTTACATTGTTTAAGAACATAGAACCTGGACTGATATGAGATTATGCACGAACTAGGATTGATCTTAAATTTATTCAAACATAAACTTAGGATGAACATTGTATAAACCGTACTAAAAAAGGAACTAAAAATAACCTGATCATGGTGAACTCACATGTCTATAGCATACTACGACTTTAACCATTAGCCAACCGTAAGCTCTTCATTCAGTTCACGTCTATATTACAATGAGTCAATGTTACAACTGCTTCAGAAAGAATTTTAGCAATGGCTTATAAACAAGAATCTTCATCCTTAAATTTAGCCTCTTACTGTTTTTGCTAAAACAAGACACGATTCTGTATAACCTCACTACACATAGTATCCAAGAGAGTTAAACCATTACATCCATTTTTCTTTCACCTTGAGTGTGGTTTCGAGTACACTATCAAAGGAGAAACCAATAGCTACCTACACTCATCAAAAAGTTCACGAAATAAAGTCTAATTCCAACAAATAAACTTGAGGAAAAGGAAAACAATATATGAGGATCGAGATATCATTGTATACAATGAGATGGATACAAAGAAATATAACTAAATCCCGTGTTAAACGATCTAATATACAAATTCGAAACAGAAAACCGAAAAGATCCCACTGTTTGCAACTTTGAAGGTTAGAAAAACCATCCTTCAAAAGCTTTAAGCCTTCAACATTGCAAATTCATTCAGTGTAATTCCTCTGATAACTTCATAAATCACCAAATATTAATATCAACTATTGACCACAAACAAGCATTGTAAATTACTGTACCTGGAGATCAACACCTCCATGGCTTCCCAGGAGTATTAACATTGATGACAACAAACGAGATATGAACAGTCTCGCCGAGGTGAACTACGTTCTGTGACAATATTTTTCGTTTATTATCTCAAATCTTATCCCTTATCCAAATCTCAACTGCATCATCAACATTATTAGGATCATCGAAATTGTCATTTTTATCATCATTGTTGAGGACGACCCACAGAACCATTTAGAATTAAGACACAAGCACAGGAGAAAATAGCATATTAAAAAAAAGGCAATGCATGTATTAACATAAAGAGTAATAATCTAGATTCATAAGGTTAATAAGACAAGAACATGGAATTTGAGGATGACTGTCTTTTTGGAACATATAGTTGAGATCCCAAGCCAGTGATTCACTTAAAAATATTTAGTGAGTTGAACAAATGTAAAGACAACAAATGTAAAGACAATAAAGGAAAAAATAGCCATACTCAAGCATATGAACAAATGAGTACTAAAGGCTGATCATTATTCCATTTCCAGCCAATTCTAGATATTATGCTAGGATATGCATTACACTTTCTCAATTCACAAGTAATTTGTTTAGGAAGACGACCTTTCTTTTCCAATCCAGTCTTATTCATGTGTGGGATCTTATACTTATTGGAGCCTCCAACTTTCATTATTTCTCGCATGCATAGTTGCATACTCAAGAAAATATGATCCACTTTTTTTGGATGGTACTCGTCAAATGACTTTTGAACTGCATGGATAAGGTCTTCCACTGTTCTCGGTTGAGTCTCATGTTGTAAAGCTTGAATGGCACTGAAAAATCCAAGATCTAAAATGTTTAAATCCAGAGAGTTCGATGGTTGACACATTAATCGAATATCAAAACCATTTTGTAAACCAGCCATTTGAAACTCTGTATCGGTTGGATCAACATGTGTTCGTGCATTATCTTGTTGAATGAAGATGATCTTTCCGTAATTCTCTTTTGGTCACACTTCTTGAATTTTTGGTATGACCTTTTCGATCAAAAATATTTTTTCCATCTCTCATGTGACATAGGTAATCTGTTTGAGCTCCAAAGTTCCAGCTTCTCTATTTCGGCTTTCTCTTTGGGATGGTTGCATGTCGACAAACGGAAAGACTCCTATTTTTTCAAAAAAAAAACTTCTTTTCCTTCATCATCAAATCGTGGACGAGTCATAGCAACAAGAAACATTACCTTCGCAGTAAAGTTCTTGTTTTGGCAACTGCGCAATGGCTCTTTTTCGTGTGGAAGTGAATAATAAGTTTCACATTTTTTGGTCATATAGAACCATTTTTCATCAATATGCACAATATTGTATATACCAACAAACTTCGGCTCATGAGAAATACTATGTACTTCGAGCATTGATATCCAAAATTGTAAACGAGCTAGTTTGTGATCTTCTTTGAGATATGGCTTAATGGTATTTGAATGGCGTCGAAGAAGACCTCTTTTCACATTTCTGCATAATGTTGTTGGGCTCACTTTTAGACTATATGCAAGCGATCTCAGAGTCGTTCGCTTGCATAATAGAATTTCGCCAACTCGATGAGGATCAATGTACACTGTATTTCGTCCACAATTTTTCGTTCTTCTGTGAGACACGTCTACTAATGCTCCATTTGAAGTATCTTTTGCTCGTTTCCAAACACGACTGTTCGTATAGGCACGGATAGAAAAGTAGAGACCTCTTTTGTTGTGTCTCATTTCAACTTTCCGTTGACACTTCTTGATAGTAAAGTATTATAGATTGATCTTTGCTCATTACACAAGTTTTTTCTTTTGTCTACTTTCTTGTGATCCTATGAACACCATAGAACAATTAAAAATTGAGTTATTTTCAACAATTTAAAACTAAATGCTTTTTATATCTTGTTTTTGTAAATAGAAATATACGGGAAACTAGAAACTTACAAATGAAAACATAATGGTTTTTTATGATAACTAAAAAAAAAACTCAAACTCTGAATTCAAGAAAAAAATGACGAAATAAGAAAAAAATTACAAATAATGAATTATGTTTTCTAAGTGTAAAATAATGTAAGAGCCAAATTTTCTGTAAATGAATAAGTAAAATGTCTTCATCATCTTCTTGCAATTGGATAATAACCTCTAATTCTATTAGTGGAGTTTCAATATCTTGATGTGGATCCACATTCAAATCAAGTAACAAGGTACCATCTTCGATCTCCTCATTGCTTGATGGTTCTGAATCGTTGGCGCTACATTCAAGTTGGAAAAAAAAAATATGACATGCTCTGAATCTCCTCATTGCTTGATGGTTCGAAATTCGTTGGCGCCACATTCAAGTCGAAAAAGAAAATTTTTTTGGCATGATTTTCTATATTTGAAGTCTTTGTTGTTAGTAGTATTTGATTCTCGTTATATATAAGAAACCAAACACAATAATTTTCTTCAATAATTGGCTCCATGTTTATTTTGAAAGTGTTTCACCAAAATTTTGAAATTTTTAGGAAAGATACGTGGAGGTTGAAACAATGTAGGCCAGTCGGGTAGGAAGTTGCCATGCTCGCCATGTGATCCGCCGCAAAATTAGCTTCTCTATGGACGTGTTGGATTCGAATATCCCACTTCTTTTGGGCCATATTTCGTATGGTCTTAACCAAAGCCTCATGGGGTCCAAAGACACCTCTAGTTCCACACACCATTTTTTGCACGCAAAGACTATCGGTCTCGGCGATAATATGTCTAAATCCCATCTCCCAAGCCAATTGTAACTCCTGGAAAAGGCCCCATAGCTCGGCACCCGTAATAATTTTGTTCTTTTAAACTAGAACGACAAGTAATTTACAATAGAGGGCGTATAAGATAGTGATAAGATTTAATTGGTAAACTTTGTAAATGTGTGGATGATATTGAAAATTTGTAAAAAATGACGTGAAAGAAAAAAATATAAAAGTATTATTTTGAGTTTGAGATGTTAGAAGAATTAGATATGGTTTATGCGAAAGTAAGAATGATTTTTTTGGAATTGGAGATGGTCTTAAATTTAAATTAATGGACTAAAAATAACATTTATCACTAAACCAAGTTCAAAATTATTCACCTTCAAATTTTCCCCTGCCTTGAACTCAAACGTGCCTCTGATAGAAGACAGGTGGACTGGCAGCAAATCAGACCACTACGGCACCCTATATACAAATCGTGGGACAGAAAAGTGTGATGTGTACCAACGAATCTTCGCTTGTCACGTGACCGTCCTGTGCTTTCTTTCTCATTATTCATTATTTATTTTTTATTGCTTGCTTAAAAAGTTAAAATACGGATTTTTATATTTTATTTTTATGTTTTTTTGCCTTTAGTCCAAATTCTAGAAAATTAAAACTCGTAACGTCAATTTCGAAAACCCAAACAGATCTTTCTCCCCCACTCCCCCCTTTCGACCTTCTGCATTCCGCTTAGCTTTCAGAGAAAAAATGGCGGACGATTTTGGTGCTCAAGATTTGGAGGACGGCGAGCTATGGCTTCCCTCTGATTTCTTCTCCATGGACGAAGCTCAGCTCCCCAGCAAGACCCCTACTCCGGTCGGCAGCCATTCTTTCTCGAAGGCCACTTGCATGGTGGGCTTTCAGCGCGTTGCACATAACAATGGCCTCTGCGAAGCTCTCCAAACTTTACAGGTACGCGCATGCATGGTCGTTTCTAAATCCACCGGCGAATTTTTAAAAAACTTGTGTTGTGTGTGTGTGTATGTTTGTTGGCCTCTGTTTCTCTGTGTGTTGTCACGCTTTTCCATTTCCTTCTGAGATGGATAATTTGAAGTGTTTTAGCAGCGGTTCAAGCCGGCTGTTTACGGCGGCGTTTCCCGAGAGGCTGCTCGCGATCCCTGTGGCCGCGGAATGAAGAAAAGTTGGACCGGGTGCTTACCTGTTACTCGATTTCAGAACCCGAACCCGGTCCAGGATCAGGTAAGACTCGGATAGGTTGCAATTTGCAATTCCCCTTTTCCAGTTTCCAGATTCAGCTTTTGTCAGGTTGTGGTTTCGATAAAGCGATTAATAGGGATCGGCTCCTACTCTGCAGATTGAGGCCTTTATGGCCGAAAGGGCTCGAGCAGAAGAGCGACAGCAGCTGAACCGGGTTTTGCTTCAGGCGGGAATGGGTGCTCGTGGAGGGACAGGCGTATTTCTGCCTCGCGTTAGCAACACGGCTGCGAAGAAAGGGAAGGGGCCGCGTGAGTGAATGCTGGAATTGATTTGATTTTTTTTTTTTTNTAATATATGCTGCATTGAAGGTTTTTCTAATTTTATTTGGTTTTATTGTTTCCTCAATTTGCTCTTATACGTTATGCTTCTTCGTGATGGGGTTTGAGTTTGAGGTCAGATCAAATGGGAGAATTGTGGGTGGGTGATAATGAGACGGGCTGCAATGATTACTCATTTGCCCCTCTCCCCTTTTGATAATCAAGTAAAAACAGAGCATTGGCTTGCTTTGACAGTTAAAATTTTCGTGGAAGAATATGTTACTCAAGCAAGTCATATATTGGAATGTGATATTTTGGTGGATAATCCAAATTTAATTTTGTTTTGCTTCTTGAATCACCCTTTTAAAACTTAAGTTGAGAGAACAATGACAAATGGTTAATTATATTTTAGGGGAATTTTTTTTCAGTTTCCTGGAACTATTTAAGGGGATAAGATTGTGTTTGCAATTTTTGCAGTATATATGCCACTAAATATGAATTCCTTTTAGTTCAAGCTGTAAATTCACTACATAAGGAAATAATATGCTGTACAACAGAACTTGATAATCATTTCATTCTATCAAACTCAATTTTCTCTCGAATTTATTGTGTCTGTCATGATTCTTACGAGGCAAAAGAACTTATTTCTAAAATGTTACAGGTCTAAACAGTTCTCACAAGTTTCATCTCCCTCCTTCTAAGAACTTGCTCAACAGAAGTCAAGAAGTGTACAGTGGCTATGGTCCTACTGATGAGGTTTGCATGCCTAACTACTGGAGCTATTGAGAATATATTTTTCTGCTAAATTTGTAATAGCTTTTGCTTCATGAGATGCATGGCACTAGACTAGACTGGAACCAATAAGTGATTAGCATCATAGAACCTTTGCTGTTTGTATATCAGTAGAAATGGCTGCTTGTCTCTGTCGATCTTTTGTGTAAAGGAATATGAAACTGTTCCGTGTTAAAGGTAATGTATGAAAAACAGAAATATTTCAAGGAAATGTATTATGAAGGTCACTTGATTTGTCCAAACTTATGGTTTGAAACTCGGTAAATACATTCATTATATATAATGCTTCTTTAACACGAGAATCATTTTGAGTATGTAGTTAAACTCTATTTCAGTTCTTAATAAAGTTGAGATTCAAGAGAAATTGGATTAAGATCATTTGCTTTTGGTTAAATCGTGAGGAAAGTCCTCTACTTCGACAGAGAAAGCAAGTATCCGCAGATTTTAGAATGCTGTAAACAAAATTAAGCAATAATATTATAAATATTGAAGTATGATCATATGAGAATAAGAATGAATTGTATCGTAGGATGTGATATATCAACACTCCAGGCAAGTCAAAGGGTCAAACTTTGGGCAAGGAGGCATGGCATTCCTGTAATTAGGTGGACTTTTGATTTTTCACGTGGGGTATTTTAGTCATTTGCGTAGAAGGTGCAATCTCACATGCACTAATGTGCATCCTTCAAACACTATTTTGCATAGGTGCAATCTCACAGGCACCAATGTGCGTCTTATTCATATATGGTCACTTGATCAACGAAAGCAACCAAAAAAGGAACAATTAAAAAATTAAAAAAAAAAAAAAAGAAAGAAAACTGTCTAATGCATTACAGGACAAGACAAGGGTTTGTCCACTGTACATTTTCGTATGCCCACCTCCACAGAGACACGCTCGTGTGAGCACACACACATGACACAGAAGAAAGCATAGTTTAGATACCTATGATTGATGAGTTAAGACACCTATGATGTGTTTTTCCTTATTAGTCATTTTACTTTCGTTATAATTATAATGGCCAAACTACACCTTAAACTTCATCTCACTCAATGGAATAAAAAAAAAGCACATTCATCTTATAAGGAAAAAAAAGGAGATTTAGTATTGTAACTGATATCAAATTTAGTATTGTAACTTCATCCCGTTGACTCTACAAAACACCCTGTAATTACAAATTAACCTTACTTTTGGTTCTTCCACCGAAAAAAAGCCGTTGTGACCAATTGCTGACGTTATCTTATGACATTACAAATCCTTCACCACATTTGTTTCTTTCTTTCGGCATCACTGAACCTGTATCAAGCAGGTGCTCATCATCCCTGGCGGCGACAGCCTCCCCGCGCCAGTATCAGCTGAGAACACGACCTCCATTCTCTCACACATCACTTTCATGCTCTCCTGCCTGTACGCCATGTTTGGCATCGTGAAATTCGCTTTGAGCGCCAGCCTCAGGCTGAAATCCACCATCCCGTTACTGTAATCCTGCTCCAGGGTCGGCAGAATCCCCTCCTGCACCCTGTTTTCCTCTGCATTCTTCACATCCACCAGCAAACTCAAGTTAAACTCCGTGTTCTGCATTTGGCTCACTTGGAACGGCTTCACATCCGAAACCCCAAGCAAAGCCTCTTTATAGAAAAGCAACGACTTGACCTGGTCGAACTGGATTGCCCGATCCTTGTTCGTGTTTGTGACCGAGACTGTCACGTCCCACGTGCTAGTCAGGGTCAAGTTTGTGACCGTGAAGTTGGAGACTTTTAGAGAGGTGACCTCGAATTCCGGAGCGTAGGTCCCGAAGAGGAACCACATGACTAGGGACATCGTGCACATGCTTGCCACGAGGACGATCATGAGCACGAGCATGAGCCGCACGAATGAGGACGAACCGTCGTCGTCAGTGTCGATTTCGGGGAGCGGCTTGTCGTAATGCTGGTTCGGATAGAAGTCGGTGTTGTTGTTGGGGTAGGAATTGAACACGTAGGGGTAGCCGTGGTGGGGCCCACAGGGGTAGGCGGAGGGGGGTTGTTGGTAACGGTCCATTGAGGGGTACCTGGTTTCGACTTTTTGTTTATGGTCTTCCAAGAAGGTGGAATCCATTTTTTTTTTCTGCGTTTTGTTTTTGGTGTTTTATTTTTTTATTTTTGTTTTTCTCTCCGTGGGCTTTTTCCAGTTACAGGGCGCAAAAGAGGCGAGGCGAGGCCAGGCGCTTGAACAGAAAATGGTGAGAGAGAGAGAGAGAATTCTGATGTTTTTTATTTTTTTTTTATGATAGAGATTTTTTTGGGTGTGTTTTGATTTTTGCGAAGGTTGTGTTTTGAGATAGATGTGTTGGATTTGTTCTCAATGTTGAGAAGGAGCGTAGATGAAGAAGTGAGGCTGGGCGTGATCATTGGAACCTGACAAGTGAAGGTCAACTATTTTAGTTGAAAGGCAGTACCTAAATTTAGTACTACCTGAATTTTGACTTAGAAGTTTTGTCAATATAGATAAAAATTAGATAAAGCTTGTTGAGTATGCATGACTTTTACTATATGCTATAATAGGATTTTTGATGGTATATTTGCTGGCTGCAACATGTGATGGCATGTTGTTGCAGATCGCAATATGTGTACGTATGTCTGGTAGTGGCTGTTGATGAGGTAACTGATGGTACTTAAAATGTTAGTTTGGAATTAATGGCTACGTGATGAATGAAAAGTTAGTTAATATTGAAACTATGTATTGGTTAGAGTTACCTGATTGTTAAAATGTTAGTTTCAAATTAATAGCGAAAGTGTTAGTTAATATTAGAATTATTAAATTGAAACTTGACTTGTAAGAGGGTTCGACCCAATCAACGAAAAAATTGAGTTTGGGCTTATATAATTATATGCTTGAGAAAAATTGAGCCCGACCGGTTGAACTTGCGCCCCAAAATAATTATATCCGCCTGATTGGGTCCAAAATAATTTTACTCCACAAAATACATTCTATTTTTTTATATTGTCTTGACTAATAAATATAGGCTAAAACCAAACATCCACTTGTGCTAGTGAAAACGAAGCGAGGCAAAGTTCAATCATAAAGAAAGCAGACTCTCGTATATACAACTACAAGAAAAAGTCTTCGCGACGGCGATTTTTTGCTCAAATGCTCATACTTTATGATTGAACTTCGCTTCGCTTCGTTTGTAGTTTTCGTTTCGACTCAACTTCGTCAACCCTCAATTACATCGACCCTGTGTTTAATACAAAAAGAGGAGGTTCGATGCAATTGACTCTATTGTAGATATTCTTTCTTAACGAAAAAAAAAGTATGCAATAGTCAGGACAATTGTTAGCTAATTTCCTTTGTGGCACCGCCCCCTCATACAAGAAATGTCGAACAAGCGAACCTTTCGCCAACTAATGTTTACGCGAGTCAAACCGGTACTACAATCTGCCTTATTCTTCCCTGCATTTCCTTTCTCTTCGTCCATCAACCCAACGAGAATGTCAGCTGCTCTATTTCTGATGATACGGTTCAAATCAAAGCAGGCAATTGACTTTTTGTTGTCTACTTTATTCGCTCCTCTCCTAGCAACGTCGAGTGGCTTTCGCTCCTTTTTGCAAAGCTCTAATGCTGCACCACCTTAGGCCTCTGATCTGTCTTCTTCGGCTTCCAGTTCCTGGCAATGACTTGGGCAAGGGGCTTCAATCAGCCGGGCCCGAGGTTGTCAATGACATAGCCTTCCTTTCGTAATTGCAACAAAAGTTTTTATTTTCACATATACCAAGTAGTTATCGCATAATTTCTCTCCCTAGTAAAAAATACCCGAAAAAAAGAATAAAAAAGGGACACATTAGTCTGAGCTACAAATAATAAACGGTCGACCTGAGCCAAACAGAGTACTATCGATTTCTCAAGTTATTCTTTATTTCTTTTATTTTCGATTATTCATAGGACCATTACTGAAACTCATTGTAGCCTAACGTTCATCAGTTTATTTTAAAACGCCTTTTATCTCACTGATTAACCGTTGATCGAAAACGCCCATTAATATATACTTTTCAGCAAGCTAGTTTTACATATATGGACAATTTTATTATATAAAATATTATATTTAAAAAAAATATATAAAAGTTAATATGACAATTGATTATATAGCCCGCTCTAGTGATCCAACTAACGTGATAGAAGATTCACATGTTATAAATAATTATTTGTAATTGAAATATCAATAAATCTTTAAGTCGACTTTATCAGTGACTCATATATTAGGTCACCCGCTACAAGAAGAAAAAAAATAGAAGAAAAAGGTCAGTGGGTCGCGCGACCCATGTCTCAATACCTGGGTCGCAACCAGTCTTTTTCTTAGAATGAGAGACACTTGTCCCATTCTTATTAGATAAATGTATTTTTTTTTTTTTTTTTTTTTGCTTTAAAAATAATAACACACTTCATATTTTGTCATTCTCTACAAATATAAATTACACTTGATATGTTTTGAAACACAATTGCATATTTTAGATAAATTAAAATAGAATAAATATTTTAGTTGAGGTAGGTTGAAGATAAAGATAAATTGGGTGGTAACTGGTAAGGTTGAGTTGTGTAAATAGAAGTGAGGAAAATAATTTTTAATTATTTGATTAGGTTGGATTGAGTTGGGATAAAGATGGTTATACATGCAAACAATGGAGTAAGGCGAGTAATTTTTATTTTTAATATAAATATGTATTTTTATTTATATATTTCAATCCAACAATTATATCTGCGCACACATTTGTTTCTGAGATAAGCTTTTTGTGAATTAGATTATTACAAGTTAGATGACCACTATTGTCTCCACTCAAACAGAGATTAGTTACTGAATGTGAACAACCTATCTATAATCTTCCCTACCCTAACCGACATTATATAACTCTGGTACATAATCGATTAGATATAGCTTAGCTGGACGACATTGGTCGGCATTATTTATTGGCATTTAATCAATATTCAAGGCACTAACGTCTACAAAATTAAATTAANGAAAGATCCTGTATGAACTATTGTAACAGTTACATTGATTGGACTGTCACAGTTTTTTGTAATAGAAATATGTTTTTACTATAAAATATTATATTTTATTTATCATTGAGAAAAGCTTCCATCAAAGCACACACTCATAATGTGAAAAATAAAAAAAGAAAAAACAAGAAATTAGTGTTCCAGCTGAATCACTGAAACAATACTCGGTTGTTGTCGACAAGATCACGACTAAAACACAAAAGAAATTCATGCAAACACGAAAGAATATGATCTTGTTTGGTGCTATTAAATTGATAACTTTTATTGTGCTATTCTATTGTTTAAATAGAGAAATAAATAAAATTAAATAAGACTTACAAATCAAAATTACACAAAAACTATAATCATACCAATATTCACAATTAATTTAGGAAAACTAACTAAAGAAAGAAAATAAACTAATTTAGGTGCATAAGAATTATATTTTATAATATAATATTTCCTATAGTACATATAAGGGCATCTACATCGCTCCATTAATTTGGTCGTTTAAACGCCATGGTGGCATTCAAGATGGATGTAACTCATTCATTAATTTGTGGACACATTTGGGCGTTCAGCTTGTTTTTTCTTTTTTTTTTTGTTTTAAATCAATTATTTATTCAATTTTTTTATCTTTTTATTTTATATTTAATTCATTTTTTATCTATATCACACTTCTCAATATGATAAATTTAAATTTTTTCTATTTCTTGTATAATTTTAATTTAAGTTATTTTGGTCTTGTAGTATTTTTTTTTATTTTCATGCATTTAAAATTTATTATTATAATTTGAAAATATGAAAATTTTATTTTTATTAAGAATAGAATATTAAAATTTATATTAAATGAGTGGATAGTGGGTCCCATATATGTATTTAAATGAATGGATATGAATGTGGATGTGTGTTTAAATGGAGAGAGAATTAGTAAAAAGATGATGTGAATGAGAGAGAATGTAACTTTTTTATCGAATAAATGAAAAAAAATTAAAATTAAACCAATGTAGATGCTCTAATGAACAAACCGTTACAAAAAAGTAAAAAATACTTAAAAAAAGAAAAGCCCCCAATTTATCTTTTTTCTCAAAGTCTATATGAGCCACAAGAGAAAGTAGATACCCCTCTCAAAGCTAAAAATCAAAAGCCAACAAAACCCCCCTTAAAATCCCCCCAAATTTTTTTCCCCAAATTCCGCCGCCGCCATGTCGGAGAAGGTCTGCAGCCACCACAAAAACAAGCGGCAGAAAATCCTCCGCCGCCTCTGCGCCGCTCTCCTCGTCCTCATCTTCCTCATCCTCATAGTCTGGGCCGTCCTCCAGCCCCACAAGCCCCGATTCGTCCTCCAGGACGCCACCATCTTCTCCCTCAACGTCTCCGCCCCAAACGTCATCTCCACCACCTTACAGGTCACCATCACCTCCCACAACCCCAACTCCCGAATCGGCGTCTACTACGACCGCCTCGCCGCCTACGCCACCTACCACAGCCAGCAGGTCACCTACGCCACCGCCATCCCGCCCGTCTACCAGGGCCACCATGACCTCAACGTCTGGTCCCCTTTCCTCTACGGCAACAACGTCCCCGTCGCACCCTACAACGGCCTCGCCCTCCGCCAGGACCAGTCCGCCGGCGCCGTCCGCCTCACCGTCAAGGTCACCGGCCGGGTCAAGTGGAGGGTCGGTGCCTTCGTCTCCGGCCGCTACCATATCCACGTCACCTGCTCGGCGTACATCCCACTCGGCAACGGCAGGAGCTCCGGCGGTATAGTCGTCGGCGACGGGATCAAGTACCAGCTCTCGCAGGGCTGTAGCGTCAGTGTGTGAAGAAGAAAGGATTAAAGGTGAAATCTTTATCGGAAAAAAGAAAAAGGACTAAAGGTGGAAACTTTTCTAGAATTGCTGTGTTGGAAAATAAATAAATCTTGAAAGAATATTTACTGAGAGGTGGTTTTGCACAGGGCTGATTATATATATGTTGTTAATTTTTATATTTGTTTATTTCCACTTGATGTGTATCAATCTAGCTTACTCTGTTTTGGCCTTTTTGATTATCTCTGTGGAGCAGAGTATACTGTAGGCTGGAGAAATTGTACATTCAAATTTGATTGATAATAAGCTGCAATTGGAAGTGCTTAACATGTTTTATTTGATGTCTCTGTGTTGGGAATTTTGTGTGCGAGTATAAAATATGATGGAACTGTAGGATGGAGGAATTGTACATTCAAATTTGCTTAATTATAAGTTGCAATTGGAAGTGTTAAACATGATTTATTTGATGTTATCTAGTGATGAGATAAGAATTTTGTGTGGGGATATAATATTGTTGATCTGTGGGTAATGTGATATTGAGCAATTTGGGCAATAATTGTTTATTTGATTGGGAAAAGGCCCAAGTGGGTTTTTCAGTGGATGTTTAACTTGTTTTGTTTGATGTATCTTGTGAAGAGAATTTTGGGTATGTATATAATATGATTGATCTGTGGGAATGTGTTATTGAGCAATTTGTGCAATAATAATTATTAATTTGATTAGGAAAAAGGCCTAAAGTGGGTTTTCAGTGGAGGCTAAGGTGTCACTCTCTAGCATTTCTTTTATTTTTTAAGGTAAAAAAGTAGCTTTGTTTAGTTTTGCCTCATCTTCACTCTAGGTTATAGTCCTTTGGTCTTGGTAGTGATGGAATTTGCTTTCTCTATTGTGATATTTTATTATATTTAATTTAATAAATTTTAATCACTAAATAACTTTTTCATTATGGTAAATAAAATGCACATAATCTATCAACATATTCCCTCAAGGCTAAGGAAAGATCGAGTGGACACAAGCTGAAATGAAAATAAAGCCTATCCATGGAGTTCTGAGTTGGAAAATAAGACAAAAATATTGAAATCAAACTTTACGTAAAGGATAAAAAAAGGTGCATCAATAATGTGGACTGCAGACTAAATGCAGCTGAAGAATTTCAATTAAAGACGTTTATTATAGTTCCTCTTTTCTTCTATGTCATTTTCATAGCCCATAATTTCTTCGTGCTGATAATTGAAATATAGAAAAAGACTTGGAGAAAATTGGACACATTCCATTACTCACACCTAACTTAAATTGGCCATCATTATTGGAAAAGGAAGAATNAAATGACTTCTCCATACTTTCATGTTACATTGATAAGGAATATGAGGGTATTTGATTAGGTTTCATTTTATTGTAGCTCAATTCGTAATGACATTTCTATCATGACTAATTGACTATAGGCATTGTTAGTTGTTACTGGTACATAAAATCTTTAGTTGTTTAATTTTGATTACAAATAGCTAGAAGATAGCTCAAAAGGATTTATATACTCAAAATTTACAAGAGTAATGGGAATTGAATTTTTTCTTCTTTTCAAATCATCCCAATAGTTAATGTACATCAACATTTTTCATAGCACAAGAGGTTGAATGTTATTGGTAGTGCAGTAGATATATACTGCTCATAAGAATGATACAACCGTCTGTTTCGGCCCAACTTTATTGTTGGGCTTACTGTTTTGACTTTTATCTTTTTTCAAGTTGTAGTGAAGTATCAATTTTGGAATATGATATTGACTGGGCTTTGTTTGTGTAAGCTGGACAAGAGGACATACGTTCATGGGCTCCATTATAATTTGTTAAAATAGTTGAAGTACCACCAAAAATAAAAATTTAGACCGAATTCTTCTTATAATTTATGATTCGCGAACGACAAACCTCGCCTCATGCAATCAATTGATGAATTATGGCGGCGACGACTTGGATTTGAGATCGACAACCGGCGGCATAACAGGATGATGGAGGGTTTCATCATCCAACCCTAAATAATGAGGCGGCAATTGGAGCCGCGAACTACACCCGACGACGATTGAAGATCCAACCCATAGTGTTGTTTGATTTTACTGATGTACTATGAGTAGTTTACTGTATATAGGGCTGTAAACGAGTTGAGCTCGACTCAGCTTGTTAAATAAACGAGCCTAAGAACGAGCTCGAGCTCGGCTAGTTAAGGCCTCGAGCTTGAGTCTTAACGAGCCGAGCTCGAGTTTTAACGAGCCGAACTATAAAAATTTATATATAAATTTAATTTTCGAGCCTTAACGAGCCTTATCGAGCCGAGCCGAGCTCGGCTCGTTAGCCAAACGAGCTATAAATGAGCTCGAGCTCGGCTCGATAAGGCACGAACTCGAGCCGAGCCGAGCCAGGCTCGTTTAATTTAACAGCACTAACTGTATGCATATCTTTATAATGGTAATTTTTTTTTTATAATGTGATGACAAAATCTTGGGTGAATTTCTAGTTTTTTCTTGGTTCTATTAAAGTTTACCTCTCCCATTGCACACTAACTGGTGTATGAAATGAAGATTTGAATGAATTTATCAGTAGTTTATCAGTAGTTTATCGGTAGTTTATCGGTAGTTTATCAGTAGCTTATCAGTAGTTTATTAGTAGTTTATTTTCCTACACTTTAAATCTCATCATCCTCAACCAAAACCCCATTCCCAAACCCATCCCCATTCTCGACACTTCGATTTCTGGTCGAATTCTGAGGTACAAGCCTCAAATCCAGAGAGGGAGGCCTCCTACGCCTCGGACCGACCGGAGGTAGACGGCTGCGACGATCGGGGTGGTGAGGCACGCCTCCTACGCTTTCAACTGCTACTGGCACAAGAATAAGGAGACCGAGAGCGGGGAAAAATTAGGATTGACGCGTTGATCATGGAAATTGCGCGTTACGAAAAATCAGGATTGTAGCAGCGGTTTTTGTTTTCATATTTATGGAGACGTTGTAATTTTAAGAAGAGATTTAATGAAAAGCACAATTATGTGATGAAAAAATTTGCCTCGTAGTATAGGCATTGATGTTACTTACAGACTTATATGCGTCCTTTAGCCGATATTTAACCTTGAGACTTTCAAATATTTGGCATAAGTAGGGCTATTTTTCGAACTAAACGTTCGCGAACAAAGCTCGTTCGAGTTCGTTCGTGTTCGATAACAGCTCGTTTATTTAGCAATCGAACCGAACACGAACATAAAATTACGCTCGTTTAGTTATCGAACGAACACGAACATGTTCGCGAACTAATCGAGCGTTCGCGAACAAAAAAATATTTTATAATTTTATATATTATATATAGTATGAATATTATATATAGTATATACATATATAATATAACATATAAATATGAATAGATATTAAATAATAAATAAAATAACTTATATGACATTAAAATAAAAAAAAAGTTAAAAAACACGAACATGAACATGTCGAACAACTCGAACACGAACTTGTCGAACAATTCGAACAGTTCATGAACATGTTCGACTAGATAAACGAACGAACACGAACGTGTTGAACCAATAAACGAACGAACACGAACAAAATTTTTTGTTCGTTTACTAATCGATCGAACACGAACATGTTCGAAAATTAATCAAACTCGAGCTCGAACACCTTAAGCTCGGTTCAGTTCGATTCGATAACAGTCCTAGGCATTAGAAAATACATAAAGCAAAAATGGGCTTCAATTCAAATATTTTGTTTAACAAAGTACAAGCTTCTAGAAGGCTAGGACTCCTAAGTCATACCCCAAATACTCTTTGACAAATATTTTATATAGAGAAGTTCCACTTTTGGTAGCTCAATTATACCCATTTTTCAATTTCAGTACTCCATGTATTCAATCAATCAATCTTGGTACCAAACGTTTCGACAATCAATCAATTTTAGTCTAAACTATTAAAATTCCGTAAAAAAAAAAAAAACTAACGGTGCTGGAAATTTCACCTCGTCGGAACTGTTCAATCTCGCTGGAAAATAAGCAGGAAAATGAAATGGAGAATTGAAGAGAATAAAAACTAAATTAACAACTATAAACTCAAAATTAGAAATTGATAGAGGACTATTGTAGAAATCGGGAACAAAACTAATATTTACACATAAATTTTGAACAATTGAGCCTATGGACATTGAATATTTTGAACAAAAAAATATAAAAAAAAAAAATGCACGATTTTTTCTCAAATTCACAACATATATGAACTTAAAACTTGTAACTGATAAAGGACTTTTATAGATCGTGAAAAGAGTAACAATATGATAACTCACACGCCAATTTTGGACAACCGAGGCATTAGGAAATTGTATTTTGAACAAAACAAATGTGAGAAATCGGGAAATAAACGGCGAGATTCATAGCTAAAATTCATGACAAATATGAAACTTAAATTTGAAATTGAATAAGGGCTATTGTAGCATATGAAGAGATGACCAAAACAAGATATCAACTATCAATTTTGGTCTATCAAAGAGCTGGGAATTGAAGATCCAATTCTCTATATCCCAACCACGCGTTGAAAAAAATTTAGGCGCTTTGACGGTGATTTTGGGATTCGATGGAAAATCGAAAAATACGGTTGAATTTCTTTAGAAAATAGCTTTCTATACATATATTCTTCATAAAATCCAACGGTTGGATATCGTATATCATACGAATAAGCCTTAATGCACAATTTTTTTAAAATTGGGTGGCAATGGGGTCGGCCGACCAGGCAGCTAGTAACAGACGTCGCGTCGGTCCTCGATCCAAGGCGGGTGGTGATTGGCAGTGGCCGAAAAGATTGCTGGAGATTATAAGCGATTAATATTTAATTTGCACTAGAAAAATATTTATTTTGTTACTTATATTAATCAAACATTTTTAAAATTTCATTAGTTTTTTTTAATTAATTAAAAAATATTTATAACGATCTTGTTAGAATTTAATGAAAAAGTTAACGAACGATAAATATTTTAAATTAATTAAGTGAATACATGAATTATTAAGAGTGAAAAGCGGATACAAATAGAATGCTAAAATTGAAAAATTTTCTTTTTTAGATAATAATCGTTAAACGAGACTAAAACTGTACATAAACAAAAATCAAGAAGACAATCGTTATTATGATCTGCCCTTATGTTTTGTATTATTTATAAACATTGGGATAACATCATCAATGTGTGCATATCGCATAAGAGATGGACATATTAACATGTGTCTACCATAAGTAGGGAGCATTTCCTTGAGATTAAAAGTGTAGACAGTTCTATAGTGTGGTCAGGCCTGCGTCAGCTTTGTTGGGTTTTTGAAAAGGCTCCTCCATTTACCGTTCTCACAATTCAAAATTTGAATTACAAAAAGTAACTTATATGCTATCTAATGCCTGGGACCCACTTTACCACAAAGCCGTTCAATTTTAATGTCTACGTTTCGTGGCGCTTGACTTCTTTTCCCAGCCTCACCACAGTTTACATAACACGAGCAAGCTCGAGATTAATTTTTTTCAATTTCTTATAGATATTAATAAGTCGATTTTGAATTATAAGGAGTCAAAATATAAAAAATTAATCAAATTCATACTTTTGAATATTAACTAGAGCTTGTTAAGGAGTCAAAATATAAAAAATTAATCAAATTCATACTTTTGAATATTAACTAGAGCTTGTTAACCAAATGAGTTTGAATTCAACCTTATTATCAAATGATGAACCGAGTGGAGTCCTATTTCATTTAATAATTATCAAATGATGAACCGAGTGGAGTCCTATTTCATTTAATAGTTCTTGTCTACCAATAAAATTCAATCTATAACTCAAGTAAATTCAATCCATAGAATGGATTTCATCTCTTTATTCCTAGACATTCTATCATGGATCAAGTTATGGATTTTAAGAACTTCGTGGTGGGAATTTGGCTTATTTGGCATGAACGAAATCGTCTTCGTAAAAAACTTCGAGCAAAGAGTGCAAAACAAGTTTGGGAGTTTGGATTATCGTGGTTAAAAGAGTTTGATTACGCTCAATCGGGGATGGTTGACAATGGCCAGAAAGCAAGTCGGGATTTGCTCAGTTGTTGGGAAAGGTCGTGAACGTGCCAAAATGGTTGGACTCTCATGTGTGATGCGGCTGTTCGGGATGCAGGAATAGGCTTGGGAGGATGGATTTGGACTCGGAGGGATTTTATCATGCTGCTTTTACTATGTATATTCATGGCTCGTTTTCTCCTTTATTTGCGGAAGCTTTGACTATTCGTCACGGCCTTCGATTCGCTTGGGATTCAAATTTCAGAATTCAGACGGTTCTAACAGATTCTTTAGAGGTTGTTGGAGGACTCGTTCAAATGGAAGAATTCGACCCCGTCTTTGAGGATTTCTCGGACCTTAGGAAGCTATTATCTCTTTTGGATTGTAGTAAGTGTGAACACCCCCGAGTGCAGAACCAGGTGGTGGCCCATAAAATTGCGAATTGGGCGGTGGCCCATAAAATTGCGAGCATTGAACTCTTAATTTGCTTGAATGTAAAATCTTTATTTAAAAAAAATAAAAAATCAACACAAACAGCAAAGCACAGCTAATAATAAATAAACTCTTTATTTATTCACATACAATAGAAAAAACTCCAATATATGATGAACAGATGAACAAACACAGACTCACGGAGCTAAATCATCAAAATCCAAACAATCGAAGCAGAACGACAATAAGTATCAATCAATCATACGCCTAATAGCAAAATGAATAAAATAAAAGGAAAATCAATAGCCGGTGACCGGAAAAAACCAAGGCGCTGCAGTACCCACGGTGAAATCAGAAATCGGAAAAATCAGCGCCAATCGAAATCGCACCTCGTGGGCTCAAAAGCAGCACCTGATACGTTGCCGTTTGATCTCAGGGGAATCCTCCTCAGATCGCACTCAATGTTCGGCTTCACCCTCGGCGATTTCACGAACCAGAACTTCAGCCTTGTCCGGAGGTAGAGCCTCACATCGATATCGAACGCGCCGTCGCGGCTGTTGGCGTCGTAGCGCGACCTCTCCCTGCTCCCGAGCGGGAGCAAGTGCGTCCCCCTGAAGACCGCCGTCGCCTCGCGCGTGCTTTTGTGGCCCTGGTAGAATCGCTGCAGGTCGACGGAGGCGAATCTCTGTCCCTGGTACAGCGCCCTGGCCTCGATCCGGTCGTAGTAGATCCCGATCCGGCTGTTGGGATTCCGGATCGTGAGATTCACGGTGAGGTCGTAGCGGAGGGTGTTGTTTCCGTCAAGGGAGAATTCGGTGAGGGATGCGCCGGTGGCGTGGAACCTGACTGTGTTCGGCCGGAAAACGAGCCAGAGGACGAAGACGACGATGCCAACGACGATGAGGATGGTGAGGATGATCTGGAAGACGCAGGTGCAGATGCAGTTGACGAGGCAGCCGCAGCAGCAGCTGAAGGGGTTGCAACAGCACCCGCCGCCGCCACGTCCGGGGCGGTGGTAGTTTTTCTTTGGTGGCAGGACGGCGGGGCCGTAGAAGCCGCCGTTCAGTTGGGGTTGTTTGGTTCCCCCCATGGACTGATCGATTTGTTATCTTTTGCTGAGTAAAATTTGGAGTGGACTGATTTTTTTTTATTTCTCTTGTTTTGTGAAATGGGATTTGATTTTTTTGATTTGTAGAGTTTATCTAAACCAATATATATACCACAAAACGTCGCGAGTGTGTATGTATATGTGCGTGTTCTGCGTGAATCGGAGAATTGGTAAAATTGTTAGGGCGCGTTGTGTTGTTGTATTATTTGGGGTTGGACACGCGACGTCTCTTGGTTGGCTTGTTGACTTATTGTTTAATATGGGGTGCGATGCACGAGAACAATATCAAATTAACAATATTATAAATAGACCTCGAATTTGAGTCACTCAATTGTGAAAGTGGAAACTACTATTGATCCTATTTAAGAAGAGGAAGAAAAAAATAATTATAAATTAAAGAGGAGGATAAACAATACTTAATAATTATAAATTAAAGATTCGGGGTCAAACAATGTAAAATTATTTTGTATAAGAGAATATAAAAAAATTTGATTACACACCATTTAAAAATTATTATTATACTTTTTTGTATGGTTAGCTTATAATATTTGTAAAAATATTAATAATTAGACCGATGAAAATTAGCTTTTTAAAGTAGATAATGGATTTGTAGTAATAATTATGAATTGGTTTCTATTTTATTTTATTTTTTCTTTTTAAAGATAATGGATTTCTAGCAGTAATTATGAATTGATTTCTATTTTATTTTATTTTTTCAAATCTGTATAGATAAGGGATGAGATTTTTTAAACAATGCAATGAGATTTTGTAACATGAGAGATAAGCTCGTGTAGATTTATATTAAAAATAGAAAAAAGAAAAACAAATATTTATGGTCAAACAGCGGTTTTGATACTAGAAAATAGAAAAAAGATAAACAAATCTTTACACAATTAATGGGCCGATTTTTTTACCTATTCAGATTTGTTCAACAATTACTATATGTAGGATATATTCAATGATTTTGGCGGGAAAACGTTTCTAATTTGTAAAAAAAATATTCTTTTTATATAATGATAGAAGATCTTAATATAGGTTGCTTTGTGAAATT